GCTGAGAGGGGGGGTTGGTGTGGAGAGAAGAGGAGAGAGACACCGACTGAAGCTAAGGGGGGGGGAGAGGAGAGAGACAGAGAGAGACACCGACCAACGCTAGGGGAGGGGGAAGACACACTGTCCGATGCTGGGGTCGCGAAAAATGTCCTCTGCCAAAAAGGGGTCACGAGTGGAGGAAGTTTAAGAAGGCCTGCTCTAGATGGATCTGGTCATTATGAGCGGGAGAGAACGTATGGAAATTCAATATAGAAATACAGATTTATTTTTTGCCCCGCCATTTAGTTGTGCCTCTTAGCAGGGGCGTCCCGAGGCTGGAGGACACCAGGAGCGGTTACGTCATCGCGCACGCGCGGGCGATCTTCTGGTACCTGCCGGCGGCCATCTTGGTGATGGACGCTAGCAGAGAGAGGAGGGGACAGTCCCCTCCCCTCTCCTGAAACTGATCATGACCGAGCGCCCGACTTTTTAGAGGGGGGTGAAACAAAAATGACGGTCAGTCATTTTGGTGTCACCCCTCCAATGGTGTCACCCGGGTGCTCCCTCAGTGGAAATAAAGACGTTGCTTTGGCCCATAAGGGGTGTGCAGGTGCTGGAGATGGTGCCATCAGCGTTCTTCTGTAGTATGTCCCTGTCCTGCTGACGATAAATAATAATCAGCTCTTTGGAGTGGGAAGTCATAAATATGTATGAGGAATGGAGCGCGGTGTGCGGCTTCAGCCGTATGTGATAAATAAAGGAGCCGAGTGTGTTTCCAGTTCTACAAGGTGCTGTGTTATGAATGCCAAGAATTTCCACTGCGCGTTGTCACCCTCCAGAGACACTAGGTGACCTGTACATGTGTGTTAGGTCTGTGCTGCCTGTTGTATACAGACCGTGCTACTGCAGGCTCTATGTGTGTGTGTATATATGTGTGTGTGTGTGTGTGTGTGTGTGTGTGTGTGTGTGTGTGTGTGTGTGTGTATATATATATCTCTCTCTCTCTCTCTCTCTCTCTCTCTCTCTCTCTCTCTCTCTCTCTCTCTCTCTCTCTATATATATATATATAGAGAGAGAGA